TGATGGTTTTGATAGATGACAGAGCAAGGCAGGTGGAGGCTCCAGTTCCTTCTCTTTGCTCTTGTCACTGCTCACATATGTGGAGAAAGCTGGTGCACAGGCAGCAATGACAAGAAAGAAGAACAGAGCCAGAAAACCCTGGTGCTCCAAGGTGATCCCATTGTTGGTGTGTGGACCTTGGCAGGTGCTGGACACTGCTGAATACTGACACCAGTCCTGGACAGAACAAAAATGTCTAAATAGTGTACTGTTGGACAACTGCCACCAAAGCCCATATTAATATGCAATGAGCTCTGGGTTGCACAAAGAAAAACTGAAAGGAAATTTCCCAAGCATTTTCAAAACTTAAAACCTGAAGGACACTTTATAAACTTTAAATTTTAAGGTTGGAGATAGATGGGGGGGGGGTTTACAGAGAGGATATCCATCTCACTTTTGCCTCTGCTAAAGCAGATTGTGCAGGGTTTGGTTTTGTTTCAGAGCCAAACTACACATTGCACTGCAGCTGTCTGTAATGAGAACCCTATGGCCCCTTCAGCAAGGCAATGCCTTCTGGGAAGGAACACTCTTCAGTGCAGAAGAGGAAAAATGGAATGGCAGGCTTCATCCTTCCCCTGCCAGGTAGTTTCCCATTGAAGCCACCTTCTCCCTAGTTGCTTCCCTCTGCCTGATTTTTGCAAGATCAGTTTGGAACACTAGTTGGGGTAACAGGCTGTCAGTGTCTGGGCTAAATACCCCTTCCTCCTCCCTATGTTGCTGCTAAAGAACATCCTCTCCAGGGAAGGGACTTTTGGGCTAATATTATACTTGGCTGTAATGTGGGGTTTGACTCTTAAGCTGCAAACGCTGCTTGACCAGAGCTGAGAAAAAAACAAAACAAGTGTGCACATGTGTACACAAGGGAGGGGGAACCTATGTCCTTCCAGATGTTACTAGGATCCAGCTCCCATCATCCCTGGAGATTCATAGGCTAGTGGGAGTTGGGAGTCCAAGAACATCCAGAATGCCACCCCTGGTATACACCATGGGAAACCAAGCTTTTCTCAAATTTTCCTCAGTTCTCTTAAAAAAAACATGGTCTATATTATTCTCACTAAGCACATTCTTTCCCTCAAGGAATTCTGGGCACTGCAGTTTTACCGCTCATAGAATTTTAATTTCCAGCAACCCTTAACTACAGTGCCCAGAATTCTCTAAGGGAAAGAATGTGTTTTAAATGCATAGTGTGTATGTAGCCACACCTATCTGGGAGTAAGACTCACTGAAATCAGTGGGACTTACTTCTAGGTAGACCTGTATAGGCTTGTTTTGTTAAAGTTTAATACAAAACTGCTTTCCAACTTCATGCAGCACTTACATGTTCACTGTCCATCTTCAGCACAATAAAAAAACATTACTATGCCTACTTTGTGTTTAAATAAATTAAGTGCCCTATGTCAACAAATCATTCAGCACACTATTCATTTTAACAATCTGTAAAAATGCACCACTCTTCTGTTCTGCTTCCTTTATGGAGTCCTTCCATTCCAAGACACTTTTATGGCATATTGCTTGATTTAATTAAAAGCACTGGAAGCATTTAAACCAGTTTATTTCCCTCACAACCACCTCAGCCTGTAACCTAATGTTACATGGCAACTTCTTTTAAAAAAAATACCTTAATTGGCTCCAGGTTTCTGTCTCAGTTGTATTTTATAGCAAGTGGCCCCATGTTAGTCCTGTGATGGAAATATTTGAGACACCAAGCTTGAAGGTTTAAGCAGGCCTGTCTTTACTGTGTGGTTCTAAACAATGGATAGAAATCATTATTGCTATAAACAAGTCAATGGCCATATATAACCCTTTACTTTAAAAGAAGGGTATTTGATGTGTTAGATTATATTGCCAGAGTTATGAGATATAAAAAGTAACTACAACAAAATCCTCCTATAATACACTGCTTTTAACAATTCAGGCTGCAATCCTATGTGCATTTTCCTGGCAGTAAGCCCCATGGAACACTGGGGAACCTACTGTACTGTATATAGGATTGTGCTCTTAGTCCTCAATAAATCAAAAACTGCCATTTAAACTTGTGCTTTTCCCTGAAATATCTCCAACACATTCAAAATCTGATATGAAATCTCCCCAGGGCTTTCCAGCTGATTACTTTTAGTATCCATGAAGATCCAAAGATCTTTCCAGGAACTTAAAATCCTTCCAAGTTGTGGAACTCCCTCCCCACAGAGGTGAGTCTGGCACCTTCACTACTCAGTTTTTGTTACATGCTGAAGATACAGCTCTTTCTTTACATTGGCGTATGACACTGTTTGTAGGACCCACCCTATTCCTGGGATTGTAATTTGTTTTAAACTGTTTTTAAAGCTGTATTTTAAATTGCTGTGACCTGCCCTTGGACCTTAGAGTGAAGGGCAGGTAATAAATCAAAACAACAACAACAACAACAACTCTCAATACTTTTGCCATTCAGTACTAAATTAAGAGAACCTTAGGCCCTTGATGGGGCTGGCTCATGGTGCCTTCCCTACCTTCTCAAAAATGCCCTTAGGTTTCTGCCATCTCTTCCCTGTCTGCATCATTAGCTGGTACCTCAATTATAAATAAGATCGTATGGATAAACATTTTCTTTGCAATACTCAGTGGATAAGTTTTACAGGATGCCCTTCCCTCTTGTATCTGTGACATACCACCTGAGTTGTCTGATACAAACCTGTTCTACAGACCTTGGTGCAATGAGTCTTGTGTGCTCTTTATACAGTGGTACCTCGGGTTAAGTACTTAATTCATTCCAGAGGTCTGTTCTTAACCTGAAACTGTTCTTAACCTGAAGCACCACTTTAGCTAATGGGGCCTCCTGCTGCCGCCACACCGCCGGAGCACGATTTCTGTTCTCATCCTGAAGCAAAGTTCTTAACCCGAGGTAATATTTCTAGGTTAGCGGAGTCTGTAACCTGAAGCATATGTAACCTGAAGCGTATGTAACCCGAGGTACCACTGTACTGGCTTCCAACAGACTATGGTTGGGGTGATGAGGATGAATGTGTGGAAGCGAGTATATAAGAGAAACTCATTGAGATAGAAGAGCAGGGATTTAGAAGGCCTGTTGATCATTTCATTCCTTTTTAGTATACCGAGTCTTAACAAAAGGACCCATATCCAGCTGAATACTGAATGAACACCCACCCACACCCCAGTGAACAAAATCAATGGGTAACACCTGTGCGTTAGTCATTATTGCAGAAACCGACATAAAAGGCCATAGAGATAGCAACAGGGATTACCTAAAACAAAATAAGGAGTTGGATTTGTTTGCAAGTACAGAACAACAGAATTCAGCCTGTTCTTGCTGCAACCTCAATGCAAGCACTGTGATGTGTGTGTGTATATAAACACAGGGCACTCCAGGTGTGCAATAACAGAAACCACTGTGTACGTGTGAGAGGATAAAATCAGTTTGAAAAACACCAGCTTTTCTTTGGGTTATGGATCAACATCCCAGCGGATAATTTATAGAATGCCAGAGTTCTGAGATTACCTCTAATTTATCTCTTAACTAAGTTTCTGTTGGCATCCCAAGAGCGTCGCACAGACAGCAAAGTTAAAGCACTACAATTTATATAAGCCCATATATAATTGAGTAATAAGAAATGGAAAACCACATCCATATGAATGAGATAAAATAAACGTAAGGAATGCACTTGGTAAATTTATAACAGTGATATGAAGATCTGATAAATACAAAAAGCAAAGGATTATTCAGTCAAAGCCAAGGCTGCAATCTGAGTCATGCTTATTTGGCAGTACGTCCCATAAAATCAATGAGCTATGCAACTGATTCCAGCTTTTGTTCTTAATCACTGTTGATATGCTTTAATGGAAGTTGCTGAGTTTATGTAATTGGTTTTATTTCTTTTTATAAGCTGCTTTCCGTTTTTTGAATGAGAAAGAAAAAAGGCACATCTACACTACAGATTTATTTTGATTCAATAGTCATTGCTTCCTCCCAAGGAACTCTGGGAATTATAGTTTATGGATGGATGGGAGCACTGCAATGATTTTTAAAAGAATTTTCAGCATGTCACCGGGTTTTCATTCCCAACTTTTTCTAGAAAAGACATAACAATTGAAGTAGGACTGGCTCCACCATTAGGCAGAATGGGACAGAAAAACAGCAGAAAAAGCAGTCCCACCACACAGTGGTTTCTCCTGAGCCCCAGCCATACACTGGAGTAAGGTAAAGGTAAAGGTACCCCTGCCCGTACGGGCCAGTCTTGACAGACTCTAGGGTTGTGCGCCCATCTCACTTAAGAGGCCGGGGGCCAGCGCTGTCCTGAGACACTTCCGGGTCACGTGGCCAGTGTGACAAAGCCGCATCTGGCGAGCCAGCGCAGCACACGGAAACACTGTTTACCTTCCCGCCAGTAAGCGGTCCCTATTTATCTACTTGCACCCGGAGGTGCTTTCGAACTGCTAGGTTGGCAGGCGCTGGGACCGAGCAACGGGAGCACACCCCGCCGCAGGGATTCGAACCGCCGACCTTTCGATCGGCAAGCCCTAGGCGCTGAGGCTTTTACCCACAGTGCCACCCGCGTCCCTTATACACTGGAGTACCCTACCCCATTCCCAATATTGAAGTAAGATTCAATAACCAGGCCAGTCAGCTTCTGTACACAGAACAAGGATGGGAGGCATCTTATCATTTGTCTCTGGCAGCAAAATCTTCAGCCAGACCTGAGTTAAAGTTATATAATACAACCTATCCAAGTTGGTAGTATAGGTAGGGTCAGAAAAGGTGGGGTAGTGGCACCGGCTATTGTTCTCCTTACACAGGAATAAAAATGTGTTTATAAGGAGAAAATTGCACTACATTGCTAAATAATTTTCATGAGAATTTTAATTGATTGATTGGCAAATTGCTGCAGAAATGTGGAGAACTGAATTTAAGATTGGACAAATGAGAAACTGAGAAAACCGAAACTGACAAATTCTTCCATCCTTACCTTGCGTCCTCCAGATGTTGGACTCATCCGCTCCAGCCAGCATGGCCAATGTAGTCCAGCAACTTCTGGAAGACCACAGATTCATTAGCACCAGCCTAGAGACTATATTTTACTATCATGAATAAAAGTTCTTGGCTAGTGGCCATAACTGCATCTTTTGAAAGTGAATTCCACAATTCTTCATTGTTATAAGCTGTTAATTATGTATGCGGACAACATCTCCTCCCGTTCCAAATTGAACAAGTAAGTCAATGACAGAAACACTATGGGTCCTTCCTACACCAGTTGAAGTTCCCTTGATTGCATTCTCTCTTTGCTGTTATCAGAAACAGACTATCCTGGGGAAAAAGTGGAAGGCAGGCAGTTGGCTGTCAAGTGATCTCTGTGAGTAGCTGGCATGACATTCAACAGCCCAGCTAACCAAGTCTGTGGTGTGTATATCCATCTCCTCAAGCCTGCCTCCTGTTGACACAAAGATTTGTAATGGGTGCTGCTTGGAATTTAAATACAGTGGTACCTCAGGTTGCATAGAGCCAGTGTGGGGTAGTGGTTAAGAGCGGTAGTCTCGTAATCTGGGGAACCGGGTTCGCGTCTCCGCTCCTCCACTTGCAGCTGCTGGGTGACCTTGGGCCAGTCACACTTCTCTGAAGTCTCTCAGCCCCACTCACCTCACAGAGTGTTTGTTGTGGGGGAGGAAGGGAAAGGAGAATGTTAGCCGCTTTGAGACTCCTTAAAGGGAGTGAAAGGCGGGATATCAAATCCAAACTCTTCTTCTTCTTCTTCTTCTTCTGCATACGCTTCAGGTTACTAATGCTTCAGGTTACAGACTCCACTAACCCAGAAATAGTGCTTCAGGTTAAGAACTTTACTTCAGGATGAGAACAGAAATCGTGCTCCGGCAGCGCGGCGGCAGCAGGAGGCCCCATTAGCTAAAGTGGTGCTTCAGGTTAAGAACAGTTTCAGGTTAAGAACAGACCTCCAGAACGAATTAAGTACTTAACCCGAGGTACCACTGTACACCACCAACAGGACCAGACCAAGACGTTGTAGTGCCAATTGGCTGCAATCCTGTATCCACTCACCGGGAAGTAAGCTCCAATGAAATCAATGAGATTTAGGATTTTGTTGCAAATGCCTGACTGTACCTCAAATTTACATTATGTTTATGCTAGCATTGCAATCATGTGTTCCCCTAAAGAATCCTGGGAACTATAGTTTGTAGGAGATTCTAAGAGTGATCTGACACGAGATTCCTAGTCACTTCCTTTGGTCTAATAGAACTACCAACTCCAAGATTCCGGATCATAATGGGAGATGGAGTTCAACGAGCTCCCTAGCTCTAGGGTTGCCATATTTTAGGAAGACCCCAAAATTATTGAGCTTCTTTTAAACAAACCCCAAAAGATATCACTTCCACCTTTGAAATCACTGTAATGTCTGGGAAATCATCATGTAGCTATTCACGGAACAGTGGATTCAGACATCCTTAGGTCTGGCCCAGCAGTCAGCCAAGTCAGGCTCTGGCCAAGGGCCCCAGGGACTTGGAAGGGCCATTAACCAGCCTAACTCAGTTGTGCTGCCATTCATCACTCTCCCCACTGGGCCCATGGATGCTTTTCAGTGGCAGGAGATGCTGAAGCCTTTGAATGGGTGCCGCAGCACATCTCTCATCTATGGCAACTAGCATGGCCAATGGTCAGGAAGAGATGGTCACTCTGACAGCAGCAGGGATGGGGAACCTGGACTGCAACTCCCATGTCTCTGAGTGTGTTTTATTATTCATTCCAACCATTTATAAATCACTTAACACAGTAGCCTAAGCTGCACAGAGGTCCACAGGCTACCTGCACCCTGCTCTACAAAAATTTAAAAAAGGAAGAAGTAGGCTGCATTAGTATACGTTACTATGGGTTAAACTTCCTCTGTAATCTGGGAAGTCCCTTTATTACGACCAACCTAAATGTCAGAAAACTGAACAAGCTTGTGGTTCCACCCAAACTCTTCATTGGGCTGGATGTCAGGCAAAGTGCCAGAGGGGCGAGGGGGGAAAGCTAGCCTGGTACTGAAACCTAAATGTCAAAATTGGTATTTAAAAAATCATTTTTGCTGTATAATGTTAGAAAATGTGTGGCTATGAGGGCATAGCTATGGGGATTGTGATGATGAGGGCCTACACTTCAGAATTTGCCACTACACCAATGCCTAGTCTGATGTTGGGATTCTTTCTCAGCCAGTCTGGGGCTACAGTCACACCATACAATTTGAGCACCATGATGCCATTTTAAACAGTCACAGCTTCCCCCAAAGTATTCTTGGAACTGTGGTTTATTAAGGGTGCTGAGAGTTGTTAAGAGATCCCTATTCCCCTCATTGAGCTACAATTTCCAGAGTGCCCTGTGAAAAGGGATTGATTTTTAAACTACTCTGACTATTGTAGCTCTGTGAGGAGAACAGTATTCTCCTAACAACTCTCAATACCCCCAATAAACTACAACTCCCAGCATTCTTCAGGAAAAACTATGATGACTATTTCAAGTAGTATCATAGGGCTTGAAATGTTCGGTTTTAATGTGTCTTGAATTAAGGAAAGGACAAAGAAGCCCAAAGTTGCCTGGGCGTATGTGGAACTTCCCAAAGAGACACAGCTCTGAAGGAAATTAGCTCTGAAGCAGTTAATTTCCCTGGCTCCCAAATTGATAAGCAGCGGGAACGTCAGCGTGAAAATGAACTTGCCTTGTTCGCTGGGGTTCGAAGACAGCGGAACTCAATCAACAACGGGCCACACGGTTCAAAGCCGCAATTCATCCCTCTGCGCCTCTGAAAAATGGGAGGTGACAGTTCATTTTGCCAGTGACAGTCTGTCGGTCTCGCTCAGTGCTTCTCCCCCGTCGACTGAACGGCGGAGGTAAAGTGCCGGCTCTCTGGCACCCTCACTTTGTATTCCACTCAGATGAACAGGACAGTGTGAGATCAAAGGTGGAAAAATCTCCCCACGGCCATCCACCTGGTATTTTGCCTCCCACCCAATCTTTCCCCACCAATTCCTTTGCACAAAGGACCCCTGAGCCTCATCCGCTCTCAGGGGAGCCGTTCTGCTGCTCCCCGTTTTCTGTACACCCTGATCAGATGTGCGAAAGGAGGTGCAGCCATGCAAATAAGAAGAGCCTTAGCAGGGGGGGAGAGCAATGGGGAATTGTCTTTCTCAGCAGGCCCGCTCTGAGGCCTGGGGAGGCCCAGGAGACTTCTGGGTTTGGGGGGCCCTAGGCATAATAAAGGCAGCCACAGAAAAGTGATGACACTCAAAAACAATATGAGGTACCAAAAAGAAGAGTGAAACAGCATTTGATTTTTTAAATTTTGATTTAACAAATGCTTTTCTAGCCTTTTTCTATGCAAATGCACTGGCTACTGGGGGGGGGGGAATCTTGCCTTCATGCTGCATCACAGCAGATAGCAGTTTTTAAAAAAGTATTTTATCAAATCACGTGCCTTAGTTGCTTAAATTTGCAGCTTTCGAGTTGACAGAGTGTGTCACCATTTGATCCGATGAACATAAAAAAGACCAGGCAAAACTTATCAAATGCCAAAGAATTAACAAGTGTCTAAACCTGAGGCCCCTTCAAGCTTGAGGCCTTCCTGCCCCACAGCCCTACCGAACCCCTGGCCCTGCTTCTAAGCAATTTCCATTTCTTCCTCCGCCCCCATGTATCCTTTTATTGCTCTCTTTTTTTTCTTCAAATAGCAGACTCCATTATAAATCAGGGAACACTGAATCATGTTGTACATGAATGCTGCAGATACCTTAATAAGACAATTTTCGGCATGGAGGCCACATTCCCTCATGTGGAACTTTCTAGAGACAGCAGCGGGTGTAGCCTGAGGCAAAAGTGGGGAGAGCAATGGTGTGACTTTTACCTTTGTGCAGCGGCCTATGAATTTCAGCATCACAAAAGCCAGACATTTTTACACACACACGCAAACCACCGTCAGGGAAGCAGGGGCCATTGGCAAGAGTACAGTACAAAGAATCTTTCCAGTCAAGCAAAATCATTTGCGGAGAGTGCAGAGCAAGGCCAATGAGAGATGTGGCCAGAGCAGAAGGCATGGCTCACAAGACCACTCCCACAAGACCTGTGGTTCTCCAACCCCTGCCTTCAGGTAAAACGACTAAATTAACCATTTTTAAGGCCTATGGGTTTGAACTCCAATTTCCTGTATTTATTCTATTGAGATTGTAATAGTTATTTCAACAGTGCAAGCTTAACCTATCTACCCAAGGATAAGTTCCACAGCGGTCAGTGGGTTTTTCTTCCAGCCAAGTGTGTGTGTGAAAGCCTAAAGCTTAACTGCAATCCTACATGTCTTCTCTTAAGTACCGTAATCTCAGTTGAATTTAATGGAGGCCTACTCTCAGTTCAGTGCGCACACAAATGCACTGCACAGGAGAATGTTCTATTGAACTCAATGGGAATGACTTGTGAGTAAATGGGCAGGATCAGGCTGCTAAAAGTACTTTGCTTTTGGCCAGGTTGTATGTTAAGAGTTTACCTTCATGTCAGCACATGTGGAAATTTTTTGAAATGCATTACATTCTAGAAACATAAATATACTAATCTTGGTATTTGCAATACAGAGATAAAGAAGAGAAAATGCACCCTGTACTGTAATGACATAATTATCAGTTACTCTGCCCCATTAGGAAATAAAAGAAGACCATTTTACAAGAAAGAAGCCCTACAGCCAATAAATAGCACACTCTTGAGATGGTGAATAGCAGGCTTCAGCCAAAAAAATATAAAATAAAAAAGCTCTAAGCCCTAGAACAGGGATGGTGGACCTGTGGCCCTCCAGATGTTGCTGGATTACAGCTCCCATCATCCCCAGCCTGCAAAGCCAGTGGTCAGGGATTGTGGGAACTGTAGTACAACAAACATTTGGAGGTCCATAGGTTCCTCATCCCTACTTAAGAGTAGGATGGTGTTCTTTTCTTCACCTTTCTGACAGTTCTGAATGGGGGCATGTATAGAAGAAGCAATAACCACAAAAGTGTGCTTGCAAAACTGTTGATTTTTACCACTGGATGGTCAGATTCTACAAAGTTTATTTTAATTAGCTACCAAAAGAAATGAGCCGCCTTTGCCCAAATGCCCTCTTTGACCTGAAGTGCTTCTCTTAAATGCCAACTCAGGAGCCCAGTGAAACAAACTGACCAGAAAAGCAGGAAGGAGGAGATTGATAGATTGCATATATTTCAAAGCAAATCAGAAGGAAGTTGGCGTTTAAACCAGTAGACCTCTGCACATAATAAAGATTAAGATCAGAGACTTCTTTGGAGGCCACTTGAACATATGGGCTCTTGGTTCCTCTGATCACTATTTTTAAATCACTATTTCACAAGTGGAGAACCTGTGGCCTTCTAGATGTTGTTGGACCTCAACTCCCATCAGCCCCAGCTAGCATGACCAATGGTCAGGGATGGTGAGAACTGGAATCCCACAACATCTGGAGGCATTGGTGGCCAATGCTCATTGGGACTAGTAAGGCTCCAAAATTAAGTGGAATCAGAACCAATGATAGACAAATCCAACAAATTATTGTTTTGTCCTCATCCTCCTATTTGCTGAGTTTCACAATACTGAGACTTAAGTAAACTGAGGGCAGACAAGGATTGGTGAGGCAATGCCCCATATGCCCTAATGGACCAGCCTCCACTGTCTGGAGGGTCATGGGTTCCGCATCCGTTCTTTACTGTCCTCCAGGTGTTTTTCTGTGGGTATGTAGTGTGGTATCTGGTGTTGAATTCTTTTGAAATTTGACACAGTAAGATAATTTAAAATAAAACAAACCTCATAGGTTAAGTTGCATTGATGAAGTTAATAATGAATTGAATTGCCAGATTCAATCCATTTATGCCTTATTCCCACCCCCCCAGCTCCAGCAACGTATGTAAGTAGGAATACAGAAAACAATGAATTAGGTTGGATAATATATATTCAGTTTCACATGAGCAAATTCATATTGGAAGAATGTAGTTGCTGAGATCCACTCCACCTCAATTTTATTTTGTCTCTAGTGTAGTTTGCTGAAAGTGGAAGACTTGGCAGGTTTTATTATTGCCACACCATGCATATACAAAAAGCTTTATGAACAAGCATACACAAAAATAATAGGTCTCTGCCCCAAGGAACTTACAATATTGTAAGAGTGGCAGGAAACAATGGAAGGAGAGAAGGGATGAGAGAAGTACGGATAACATACCAGGGAAGGAGGAGAGGGTGGATCAGGCAAGGTGCAAGTGCCAGGCAGTAGCTTGCTTTAGTTTACGAGGGAAACACTTTCCCTTGTAAACTGAGCAGGTCAATCCCATAAAGGATTGAAGGGAGGGGGAGCAGCCAGGTCCTCCAGATCTGATTTTATAAAATTGGCATTGTGAGGAGGCAGCTGTAAACCCAGACAGATGGAGTATAGCTGGAATGGTTATTATATTTTCAAGCTCTTGCATGCTGACAAGCGGGCCCAATGGGGGTCCGTGGTGGAATTAGTGTATGAAAAGGCAGCAGAGAAGACAGCTCTAAAAGATGGACTGGCAGCTCTGCTCTGAGCTGAGCCATCTTGAAGATAACAGGTTGTCAGTCACCAAGAGCTGCTTATACATACATGCCGCATTACTGAACTCCCACTACCAAGAGAATTAAACCTGTCTACACACACACAAGCAGCTCCAGTACTCTGATTACATTTACAGAGGTTGCGACCTGCACTTCTGTCTCTATGGAAACCCCTTGCACTGCCAACATGGAGTCAGAGTTGTTTCACCATGGGTGGCTGATATTTAAAGGTAAAGAGACTCTGCCAACTTGGCTGAGCAGCTGAAGGAAACCACATACTGCTCTTTTTTATACTTTCAGGCCTTCTTAGCTAATGATTAAGAGAGTGGGATAAAGATAGGTAAAGCAAGCAATCACAGAATCAAAGAGTTGGAAGTGAAACAAAAGTAGTCTTTGGGATTATCTACAAACCTGCAGTGTGGAGTAGTGTCTGGAGTTTCAGATCAGGGCTGCGTACATACCATGTATTTATTTAAAGCATGCTACTTCCCCTAAAGAATCCAGGGAGTTGCCAATTGTAGCTCTATGAGGGGTAAACTACAGTTCCCAGAATTCTTGGGGGGAAGCCATGTGCTTTAAGTGTATGGTGTCTATGTAGTCTAGGATTGAGGAGCCCAGGGCCAAATACACACAAAGCCATGTGATTTTTAGCTAGTCAAGGTTTGTAAGCCTAGTCTACCTCACAAGATTGTTGTGAGGATACAAATATATGAAACCCCTGGAGGAAATTTGGGGTGTAAATGCAATAAATATATATAGTGTGATCTTGGCATAAAAAATCAGCAGCATCTCCATCAGCCCTATACAGATTACCTTGAGAAACACAGATAGCAGGTGATGGGGAAAATTCTGGAGATGCACTGCCAGTCAGAGTGAACAAAACTGGACTAGATAGATCAATGGTCTGACCTGATACAAGCATACCAGTTTTACAACTGGTCAACCCATGCGTACTAGGGCTGGGCGATCTATCGATCTATCATCCAAAACCGGTTTGAAGTTCACATCGTGATAATTGTTTCATAATATTTGAGCTGGCGTTATATCGTGAATCACAATGTGTGTAAGGGCTAGGCCAGGCTTCCTCAACCTCAGCCCTCCAGATGTTTTGAGACTACAATTCCCACCATCCCTGACGACTGGTCCTAGCTAGGGATCATGGGAGCTGTAGGCCAAAAACATCTGGAGGGCCGAGGTTGAGGAAGCCTGGGGTAGGCAATATCTGGTTTTCAACATCTTGATAATTCACCAGCTAAACATCATGATAACTCACCAGCTAAACACTGCAATGTTATCAGCAGCTAAACCTCACAATATCACCAGCTAAACATTGCAATGCTATCACCTGCTAAAAATTGCAATCTACCACAATGTCTGAAATAAGGATGGAACTAAACAGAGGCAAACAGGACAATGTCATCACACACTCAGTTTCATCAACAGGCAAGCCAAAATGCATCCCAACAGAACTTTTGGTTTCTGGATTGGCTACCAAATGGTGGCATTCAAGACAATCCAAAATATGGCAATGAGTCGTAGTGAATACAAATAATCTGGGACTGCCAGACCACCAGCAGGTCTGTTAGGAGGCAGAGGCAGCAGTGGCAGAAACAGCTTGCCATGACCGCGGTACATGTCGGCAGTAGCGGCGACAACCTGCATGGCCTTGCGGTGGTGGATCAATCAGTGGTGGTCTGCAAGTCCTTGTGGAGGCGACGGGAGGGGGCAGCAGTAGCAGCAGCAGTGACACAAACAGTGGCGGCCTGCAAGGCCTTGCGGCGGTGATGGGAGGTGGCAACAGTAACGGTGGCCCGTGAGGCCTCGTGGTGGCAACAGAAAGTGGTGGCAGCAATGGCAGTGGTCTGTAAGGCCTCGCAGCAGCGGCATGAAGTGGCAGCAGTAAAGGCATTGACCTGAGAGGCCTTGCAGTGGCAACAGGATTTGGCAGCAGAAGCGGCGGTGGCCTGCGAGTCCTTGTGGCAAAGGCCTGCGGGGACTCACAGCAGTGACAGGAGGTGATGGCAGTAGCCACATGCTGCGAGGCCTTCCGGCAGAGGTCAAAATGTTCTCCACCCTTCCATTATAGCTCCTGAGGGCTCTTCCACTTTTATCCAGGTTACCTGCTCTTCCTACCTTCCATTCCTACCAACACCACATATTTCCTCCTTCCATTAATTCCTGTGTAAAGCCTTCCTTCTCCACAAAGCTGCCCTGCTGCCCTAATAGTGTTTTTGGTCGGCATTCTTATGCCTTTATCAGTTAGACTGATACCACAAGAACCGTGCCAATGGCAGGAGACCCACAGGTGATAGTAAAAGACAGTTCCAGGACACTTATATAAATCAAGGTTGCCATGGAGCAAGTTATTTATTCCCTAGCTACTACAGGTAAAAGCAAGCAAACCAAAAGTCAGAT